GCCGCAGATGATCAAGGGCAACTGGGTCAAGCCGGGGGCGACGGTGATCGATGTCGGCATCAACCGCATCCCCGCGCCCGAAAAGGGCGAGGGCAAGACGCGGCTCGTCGGCGATGTCGATTTCGATGACGCCGCCGAAGCCGCAGGCGCCATCACGCCGGTTCCCGGCGGTGTCGGGCCGATGACGATCGCCATGCTGATGGTCAACACGATCGTTGCGGCATACCGGTCGGCGGGACGCACGCCGCCCGTTTTCTGACGCGCCGGCCGGGCACCGTTCGGGGCTTGCGCGGCCCCGGCTTTGGCGTCAGTGTCCCGGGCCGTCCAACATATGTGACAGCAAGACCAGTCATGACGTCCGACGTTCCATCGCGGCATTTCGCCTTCATTCTCGCCGAGGAATTCTCCATGTTCTGCGTGTCGGCGGTGATCGACGTGCTGCGCACGGCCAACCTGGTGTCGGGCACCGGCTATTATCGCTGGTCGACGGTGTCGCACGATGGCGAGCCGGTGCGCGCGTCGAACGGGCTGACGCTGAAACCGGCCCATTCGGTCGACACGCTCGAGCCTGCCGACCTGACATTCGTCGTCGCTTCGATGACCCTCGATTTTCCGGGCAGGCAGAAGATCGTCAACGCGCTGCGCACGCTGGGACGGCGCGGGGCAAGCCTCGGAGCCCTTTCGGTGGGCAGCCACATTCTCGCCCAGGCCGGGCAGCTCGAGGGCCATCGCTGTACGATCCACTGGGAGAACCGCGCCGGCTTCCGCGAGGCGTTCCCGCACATCGAATGCACATCGAACGTCTACGAGATCGACCGGAAGCGGTACACGGCGGCGGGCGGCACGACCGGCATCGACCTGATGCTGGAGATCGTGCGCGCCGATTTCGGTGCCGAGATCACCAACAAGGTGGCCAACAACTTCCAGTATGAGCGAATCCGCAGCCATGAGGACCGCCAGCGTGTCGGCCGCGAGCCTGACCTGACGGGCAAGTCGGAAAAGCTGCGGCGGCTGACCGAACTGATGGCCGACAATCTGGAGGAGCCGCTGTCGGCTGGGGTTCTGGCGCAATCGGTGGAGCTTTCGGTGCGGCAGGTGGAACGGCTGTTCCTCAAGCATCTCGAATCGACGCCCGGGCGCTACTACATGACACTGCGCCTTGAACGCGCCCGGCAGCTGCTGCGCCAGACCAACATCCCGATTCTGGAAGTGGCGCTGTCGACGGGCTTTACGTCGCACTCCTATTTCGCGCAGAGTTACCGCATGCAGTTCGGCCGGGCGCCGAGCGATGAAAGGCGCAAGAGTTTTTGACCACCATGGACCACAAGCCCAAGGCGGGCGTGGCGCGGCACGATCTGATCGCGCACGGGTTTCAGATCATCGGCTGGCGGGAAAAGCTGGCGCTGCCCGATCTGGGCGTCGATCGCATTCGCGCCAAGATCGATACCGGTGCGCTGACATCGGCGCTGCATGTCGACAATCTGGAGTTCTTCGCGCGCAATGACCGAAGCTGGGTGCGCTTTCATCCACCCGGCGCCAACGGTGCGCCGACGCCGGAGCCGGCCGAGGCGCGGATGCGCGAGTTCCGGGAGGTCAAGTCGAGCAGCGGCCAGGTGGAGCGGCGGTGCGTGATCGCCACGCGCTTCGTCATCGGCGCGGAGACGTTTCGCGCCGAGGTGACGCTGACCGACCGCACCGACATGGTCTACAACATGCTGGTGGGGCGCAGCGCCATGCGGATCGGCCGCCTGATCGTCGATCCGACCCGGTCCTGGATGGCCGGCAATCCCGCCTGGCCCGATCCGCCGACCGACAGGGAAACGCCATGAAAATCGTCATGCTCGCGCGCAATCCGGACCTTTACTCGCACCAGCGGATCAAGACGGTCGCCGAGGCGCGGGGGCACACGCTCGACATCGTCAACACGCTGCACTGCTACATGAACATCACCTCGCGGCGGCCTTCGGTCTACTACAATGGCGAGAAGATGACGGGCTACGACGCGGTCATTCCGCGCATCGGCGCCTCGATCACCTTCTACGGCATGGCGGTGCTGCGCCAGTTCGAGATGATGGGCGTCTATCCGCTGAACGAATCGGTCGCCATCGGCCGCTCACGCGACAAGCTGCGCTCGATGCAGTTGCTGGCTCGGGACGGTGTCGGCCTGCCGGTGACGGCCTTTGCCTACGATCCCAAACGAGCCGAGGATATCGTGCGCATGACGAGCGGACCGCCGACTGTGGTCAAGCTTCTCGAAGGAACGCAGGGAATCGGCGTCGTGCTCGCCGAGACCATGCAGTCGGCCAAGTCGGTCATCGAAGCGTTCCGCGGCGCCAAGGTGCACATCATGGCCCAGGAGTTCATCAAGGAAGCCGGCGGCACCGACATCCGCGCCTTCGTCGTCGGCGGCAAGGTGGTGGCGACGATGAAACGGACCGGCAAGGCGGGCGAATTTCGCTCGAACCTGCACCGCGGCGGCATGGCCGAGGCGATCCGGATCACGCCGATCGAGCGGGCGACGGCCGTTCAGGCCGCCAAGACCATGGGCCTGGATGTGTGCGGTGTCGACATGCTGCGCTCGAGCCACGGGCCCGTGGTGATGGAGGTCAATTCCTCGCCCGGTCTGGAAGGCGTGGAAAAGGCGACCGGCAAGGATGTCGCCGGCAAGATCATCGACCTGCTGGAAGCCAATGTGGAACGCGCGCAGGCGACGCGGCGCGGCAAGACCAAGACGCGCGGCCGCGGCTGAACGCGGGCGCGGTGCGGTGTGCTGCCGCAGCGACGGCCGGGCGCTTGCGCACGCGCAGGTTTCGCGTCAAACAATGCCCATGAACCGCTTGGCTCCCGGCAGACACGACGGTGCCCGCGCCGTCCTCGTGCGGCTGGCGCTGATCGCCGCCCTGGCGATGGCTGCGTTCGCGCATCGGCCTGCCGCCGCGACACCGACAGGCATGAGCGCTCTGGAGATGGCGCACTATGTGCTCCCGGACGGCTCGATGCCGGTCCGGTGCCTGCCTGAAGACGACGGCGGCATCTCGGGCAGCCTGTGCGAATTCTGCCTGATCGCGGGCGGAGCGGCGGTGCCGGGACCCGGCAACTGCCTTCCGGCCATGCGGCTGCGGGCGGAGACCGGCTCGCCTCTTGTCACCCGCACCGGACCGCCGATCGCAGCGGCGCATCTGGAAACGGCGCCGGTGCGCGGCCCGCCGCCCGCCGGCTGACACGCGACATCTGCCAAATCCCGATCCCTTTGCCGGTGCCGCCCCACGGTGGCCCGCACACAATCCATGAGACATCCCATGAACAAGTTCATTCTGACCGCCGCCGCCACCGTCCTGGCGGGCGCATCCGCCTTTGCCCATGAAGAACACAAGGCCGGCGATCTCGTCATCGACCATCCGGTGGCACGCGCCACGCCCGCCAACGCGCCCGTTTCGGGCGGCTACATGACCATCCGCAACACTGGCGAGGAGGCCGACCGGCTGATGGCCGGCGCCGCCGACTTCGCCGGCAAGGTGGAAATCCACGAAATGGTGATGGATGGCGACGTGATGAAGATGCGCGAGATCGAGGGCGGCGTTGAAATTCCCGCCGGCGGCGAAGTGGTGCTCAAGCCCGGCGGACTGCACGTGATGTTCATGCAGCTAGACCAGCAGCTCGAAGAAGGCGCCAAACTGCCGGCGACGCTGACCTTCGAAAAGGCCGGCGACGTGACCGTCACATTCAATGTCGAGAGCCTGGAACAGATCCGCGAACATCTGGGCGGCGGCATGGAGCACGGCTCCATGGACCAGTAGGGCCGTCCCAACCGACCGGACGGTGCGCGGCGGGGCCTATTCCGCCGCCGCCGCCATGGCCTGACGCTTTTCGTCCATCGCCTGGCGGATGATCTGGAAGGCCGAGGTCAGGAACAGGCCCGCCATGATCGCCGCGACGATCAGGTCCGGCCAGCCGGTCGCCGTGCCCCAGACGCCGAGCGCGGCGATCATCACCGCGACATTGCCGATCGCATCGTTGCGCGAACACAGCCAGACCGAGCGGACATTGGCATCGCCATCCTTGTAAGCGACGAGCAAGAGCACGCTGGTCACGTTGGCGGCAAGCGCCAGAAAGCCGATCACGCCCATGACCGGCGCCGAAGGCACGCCGGCGACGAACACCGCATAAAGCGTCGAGCCGAAAACCCAGACGCCCATCGCCAGAAGGCTGACGCCCTTCAAGAGCGCCGCATTGGCGCGCACCGACAGCGACGAGCCGATCACCGCCAGCGAAATGCCGTAGGTCAGCGCATCGCCGAAGAAATCCAGCGCATCGGCCTTGAGCGCCTGCGAACCGGCCCAGTGGCCAGCGACCATTTCGACGGCGAACATCGTCGCGTTGATGGCGATGACAGCCCACAAGCGGCGCTTGTAGTCCGCGGACATGCCGTCAAATGTCGTTTCGTGATGGCCGCAACCCGCACCCATGACCGTCTCCTTGATGTATGGACATCATCAACCTAATCTCTCTAGCGGCTATAGGTTCAAGAGGGTATTTCGATGTTCTCGATCGGCGATCTGTCGCGGCGCACCGGCGTCAAGGTGCCGACGATCCGCTATTACGAGCAGATGGGGCTGATCGCGGCGGCGGGGCGGACCGAGGGCAACCAGCGGCGCTACGACCGGGACGGGCTCGAACGATTGTCATTCATCCGGCACGCGCGCGATCTGGGCCTGTCCATCGAAGCCATCCGCGAGCTTGCCGAGCTTTCGGCCCATCCCGAAGAACCCTGCGCGGACGCGCATCGGATCGCCCGCGAGCACCGGGCGGAAATTCACGCCAGGATCGAACGTTTGAGACGCCTTGAGGCGGAGCTCGGCCGCATCGAACAGATGTGCGATGCGGACCGGGTCGGCGAGTGCCGGATCATCGAGGCGTTGGCCGATCACGGCCTGTGTTCCGGAGAACACTGACGGTCCGCCAGGACCGCCGAGGTCTCGGGTCTCTTCGGGAGGCGTGCCTTATGCGGCGCGGCTGGCCATGATCGACTTGGGCAGGCCGGCGACCCGCTCCATGGCGATATCCGCATCGGGGAACAGATTCGCCATGTCATGGCGCGTCAGGAGCTTGACCTCTTCGACGATCGACCGTGCCTTGCGATAGTCGGGCTCGCGGTCGTAAAAGCCGAGCCTGCGCATCTGCAAAAGATGCGTGCGCCAGCGGGCCGGCAGCCACTGATAGCCCGGCACCCGGAAATGCGGCTCGAGCGGAAACCAGAAATTGGGCGTCTGGACGAAATAGCGCGGCGCCAGGCGGCGCACATTGTCGGCAAACTGGCCGATCCGGTCCCATCCGCCGACATGTTCGATGACCGAGTTGGAGTGAACCAGATCGAAGGCGTTTGCCTTGTAGCTGTGCGTGTCGCAGGCGTCGCCGGCATGGGCCTCGAACAGGCCCGTATCCCTGACCGGCACCAAGTCGCTCTCGAGATTGACCAGGTGAATCCTGACGCGCCCGCGATGGCGCGCCAGAAACTCGGCGCCGACGGTCCAGTAGATCTCGCGCCCGCCCAGATCGATGATGTCGATCGCCTTGCGGTTGTCGAGCGCCTGCTCGATCAGCGCCTCGACCCGGGCAAAACGGGCGCGGCGGAAACGGCTCTCAAGGGATTCCGGGTTGGAATAGGGGTCGGCGATGGTCTCGGCGGCAAGGGTCTGGCTGGTCATCGGTTATCACTTCTCGAAAATGCGTGCGTGCCGAGCCGGCCAGCCCGACGCCAATGGCCGCCTGTATGCACGCGGAGAAACCGATTGTGAAACAAGACCTTCAGTTTGGGTTAACAATCCTGTCCCGCAAAGGCGCACCGGTCGCAACGATCACGATCGATTGCCCTTGGGTGAGCCTGCGCTAACTCCTCTTCTTCTAAGTGGAGGAAATCGACATGCACAAGACGTTGGCCGCAACGGCGGCGCTTTTCACATTGCTTTCAACCGCCGCGCTGGCGCAGGGGACGCCGTCGGCGGACGGAGCGGAGGTTTACATCGTCAATCTGGACGACGGCGCCACCGTGCAGAGCCCGGTCACGATCGTGTTCGGCATGCGCGGCATGGGCGTCGCGCCGGCGGGCATCGAGATGGAGGGCACCGGCCATCACCACCTGTTCGTCAACCGGGCGCCGTTTGGCGAGGCGGATGCCGCCGGCAACATTCCGGCCGATGACAATCACATCCATTTCGGCGGCGGTCAGACCGAAGTGACGCTTGAGTTGCCTGCAGGCGAGCACACGCTGCAGCTCGTCACCGGCGATCACAATCACATTCCGCACGACCCGCCGGTTGTTTCGGAGACGATCACGACCACCGTTGAGTAAGCCAAGACTTACCGAAAGGCATCGTCCGCCAGCGGCACGCTGACCGGCCGGGCGGAAGACGGCGCGGCGCCGCCGGCCGGCGCGGGCGGCGGCATGAACACGCTGGCGCCCTGATCGGCGCGGGTGGCCACCCGGCGGAACGTCTCGAACAGTTCCCGGCCGATACCGTGCGTGTTGGCGGTCAGGTCGACCTGCACCGGCTCTCGGCTCTCGAACTCGGTCGCATCGACCAGCACTTCGAGCGTTCCGTTGATCGCGTCGACGCGCACCATGTCGCCGTCGCGGACCTTGGCGATCGGCCCGCCATCGAGCGCCTCGGGCGTCACATGGATCGCCGCCGGCACCTTGCCGGACGCACCCGACATCCGGCCGTCGGTAACCAGCGCCACCTGATGGCCGCGATCCTGCAGGATCCCAAGGCACGGTGTCAGCTTGTGCAGTTCGGGCATGCCGTTTGCCTTCGGGCCCTGGAAGCGGATGACCGCCACCATGTCGCGATCGCATTCGCCGGCCTTGAAGGCGGCTTGCAGATCGTTCTGGTCGTGGAAGACGCGCGCCGGCGCCTCGATCACGTGCCGGTCCGGCTTGACCGCCGAGATCTTGATGACGCCGCGGCCCAGATTGCCGGTCAGCATCTTCAGCCCGCCATTGGGCTGGAACGCCTTTGCCACCGGCGCCAGCACCTTCTCGTTGCCGGACTTTTTGGGCGCCGGGCGCCGCTCGACCGTGCCGTCCTCGCGCCCAAGCGCCGGCTCGATCATGTAGGGGTCCAGCCCGTGACCCCAGACGGTGCGCACGTCGCGGTGCAGAAGGCCATGGTCGGCCAGTTCACGGATCATGAAACCGAGCCCGCCGGCGGCATGGAAATGGTTCACGTCGGCAAGCCCGTTGGGATAGACGCGCGCCAGAAGCGGCACCGCGTCGGACAGGTCGGATATATCCTCCCATGTCAGCGTGATGCCGGCGGCGGCGGCCATCGCGATCAGGTGGATGGTGTGATTGGTCGACCCTCCGGTCGCGTGCAGGCCGATCACGCCATTGACGACCGACCGCTCATCGATCATCTCGCCGACCGGGGTGAACTCGTTGCCGAGCGCGGTGATCGCCATCGCCCGCCGGGTCGCCTCGCGGGTCAGCGCGTCGCGCAGCGGCGTGTTCGGATTGACGAAGCTTGCACCGGGAATGTGCAGGCCCATGATCTCCATCAGCATCTGGTTGGAGTTGGCCGTGCCGTAAAAGGTGCATGTGCCGGGGCCGTGATAGGACGCGCTTTCGGCCTCCAAGAGCTCGTCGCGGCCGATCTTGCCTTCCGCATAGAGCTGGCGGGTCTTGGCCTTTTCGTCATTGGGCAGGCCGGAGGTCATCGGACCGGCGGGAATGAACACCGCCGGCAGATGGCCGAAGGTGAGCGCGGCGATCAGAAGGCCGGGCACGATCTTGTCGCAGACGCCCAAATAGACCGCCGCGTCGAACATGTCGTGCGACAGGCCGACGGCGGTCGAGAGCGCGATCACGTCGCGCGAGAACAGAGACAGTTCCATGCCCGCCTGACCCTGGGTGACGCCGTCGCACATGGCCGGCACGCCGCCGGCGACCTGGGCGACGCCGCCCGCATCGCGCGCGGCCTGCTTGATAAGCGCTGGAAACGTCTCGAACGGCTGATGGGCGGACAGCATGTCGTTGTAGGCGGTGATGATGCCAAGATTGGCGACGGTATCGCCCTTCAGGTCCGCCTTGTCGGCCGGCCCGCACGCGGCAAAGCCATGGGCGAGGTTGCCGCAGGACAGCTTGGTGCGCTTCGGCCCCTGGCTGGCGCGGTCGGCTAGCCGTTCGAGATAGAGTTCGCGGCCGGCTCTCGAGCGCTCGCGCATCCGTTCGGTGACGGCGGAAATGGTGGCGTTGACGTCATAGGCGGTCATGGCGTGATCTCCGGATCGGGCATTCGGGTCCTGTCCAGGCGCCGCTTACGGCGCCCAGAAGACATGGACCGGCGTTGCGGTCTGGTGCAGCACCGCGCGAACGGGCATGGCATCGACATCGGTGCCGCCGAGCGCGGTTTCAAGCGTCGTGCGCTTCTCGGCACCCTCGATGTGCAGGGCGACGAAACGGGCATCGAGGATCGGGGGAAGCGTCAGCGTCAGACGCGGCTCGCCCGCGCCTTCGGCAAAGATGGGCAGCACCTTGTCGTCACCCTCCGGGTCGAGCGCCTCGGCAAGACGGTCGCCGCCGGGAAAGAAGGACGCGGTGTGGCCGTCCGTGCCCATGCCGAGGATGCACGCGTCGAGCCGGTGGCCGTCCTGCTCGAAGGCGGCCTGCGACAGGCGCGCGCATTCGGCGGGCGTGTGGCCATCGACGACATAGGGCACGAAGCGCGCCTCAGCGGCGCGGTTCTGCATCAGATGACGCCGCACCAGCCCGGCATTGGCCCGCTCATGGTCTGGCGGCACCAGCCGCTCGTCGACCAGCAGCACCATGACCGAAGACCAGTCGAGCCCGGCCTTGGACAGAACCTCGAAGAAGCGCTTGGGCGTCGAGCCGCCCGAGACGGCCAGCGAGGCGTGTCCGCGCGTCGCGATCCCGCCGGCAAGCTTGGCCGAGACACCGGCGGCCAGCGCCTCGGCGAGCTGGTCGCGCGTGGCATAGTCGTGCCGGTGAAGCCCGGCCGGCGCGTCAGTCGCTCTCATGCCAGGTCCGTCCGTCGCGCTCGATCAGCGCGATCGAGGCCGACGGTCCCCATGTTCCGGCCGTATAGCGCTGGCATTGCTGGCCGGTCTCTTCCCATGCCGACAGGATCGGATCGATCCAGCGCCAGGCGGCCTCGACCTCGTCGCGGCGCATGAACAGGGTCTGGTTGCCGCGGATCACGTCCATGATCAGCCGTTCATAGGCGTCGGGATTGCGCACGTTGAAGGCGGACGCGAAACTCATGTCGAGCGGCACATGGCGCAGCCGCATGCCGCCGGGGCCCGGATCCTTGATCATGATCCACTGCTTGACGCCCTCGTCCGGCTGCAGGCGGATGACCAGATTGTTGGCCGACATGCGCCCCGCGCCCTGGTCGAAGATCGAATGGGGCACCGGCTTGAAGGCGATGACGATCTCCGACACGCGCGTCGTCATGCGCTTGCCCGTGCGCAGGTAGAAGGGCACGCCGGCCCAGCGCCAACTGCCGATCTCGGCCTTCAATGCCACGAAGGTTTCGGTGTTGCTTTCGCCGCCTTCAAGCTCTTCCAGATAGCCCTTGACCGGACCGCCGGCCGAAGCGCCCGCCCCGTACTGGCCGCGCACGGTGAGCTTTTCGACATTGTGCTCGCCGACCGGCTCGAGTGCGCGCAGCACTTTCAGCTTTTCATCGCGCACCGCGTTGGCGTCCATCGAGGAAGGCGGTTCCATGGCGACGAGACACAACAGTTGCAGAAGATGGTTCTGCACCATGTCGCGCAGCGCGCCGGCCTTGTCGTAATAGCCGGCGCGGCCCTCGAGGCCGACCGATTCTGCCACCGTGATCTGGACATGGTCGATATGGGCCGAGTTCCACAAAGGCTCGTAGAGCGCGTTGGCAAAGCGCAGCGCCATAAGGTTCTGCACCGTCTCCTTGCCCAGATAATGGTCGATGCGGAAGATCTGGTATTCGTCGAACACCTCGCCCAGCGTGTCGTTGAGCGCGGTGGCCGATTTGAGATCCCGACCGATCGGCTTTTCGACGATGATGCGGGTTTCGGGCGTGATCAGCCCGCTGTCGCGCAGGCGCGTTGCGATGTCGCCGAAAAGCGACGGTCCAACGGCGAGGTAGCAGGCGCGCTTCTTGCCCGTATCGGTCCCGAGCGTCTTGGCCAGCGCGTCCCAGCCGCGCTCGGACTTCACATCGACCGAGACGTAATCGAGCTTGGCGAGAAACTTCTCGACCTCGTCGTCGTCGAGTTCATCCTTGACGTGGGTCTTGAGCGCGGTCAGCGCGAAGTCCCGGTATTCATTGGGCGACAGGTCCGATCGCGAGGCACCGACAATGCGCGTCGGCTCGGTCATCTGACCGTCCTTCTGGCGATGATAGAGCGCCGGCAGGAGCTTGCGTTCGGCGAGGTCGCCGGTGCCGCCGAAGATGATGCAGTCAAACGGATCGACGGGAATGATCTGGCTCGACATCGGGAGTATCCGGTGATTGGGCGTGATGCCGCCACCATAATCTAATCGATTTAAGAATGCCAGCGCCCAGATTGACGCAACCGGGAAAATCATCGAACGTTCATGTGCCGCGGCGGCCAAGGGAGGTGGACATGCTGACAAAACCGGATTCCGATCTCGCGCGCCGCGCCGGCGAAGGCGCCCCTGGGCACAATGTCATAGGCGGCGCATTGGCAGCGGCCCGGTCCGGTGCCGTGCTGGAGGTCGCGTCTCCCTCGGATGGCATCGGCTTTGCCAAGATCGCCCGGTCTGACGCCGCCGATGTGGATGCGGCGGTGGCCGCCGCGCGCGCCGCCTTCGAGGCCGGTCCCTGGGCGAAGATGGCCGCTGCCGAGCGGGGACGGCTTCTGACGCGGCTCGGCGACCGGATCGCCGATCATGCCGGCGAACTGGCGGCGCTTGAAAGCCGCGACACGGGCAAGCCGCTGCGGCAGGGCATTGCCGATGTGACCGCCACGCTGCGCTATTTCGAATATTATGGCGGCGCGGCCGACAAGGTGCATGGCGAGCAGATCCCGTTTCTGGACGGCTACACGGCGCTGACCCTGCGCGAGCCGCATGGCGTCGTCGCCGGGATCATCCCGTGGAACTATCCGCTGCAGATTCTGGCGCGCGTCGCCGGCGCGGCGCTGGCAATGGGCAACACGCTGGTGATCAAGCCGGCCGAGGATGCCTCGCTGACGGCCATCCGCGTCGCTGAACTGGCGCTGGATGCCGGATTTCCCGATGGGGTCTTCAACGTGGTCACCGGACTTGGCTCGGAAGCCGGTGCGGCGCTTTCGGCGCATGCCGACGTCGATTATGTCACCTTCACCGGTTCCCCGGCGACCGGAACGGCGATCCAGACGGCCGCCGCCGAAAACAATCGCGGCGTGACGATGGAGCTTGGCGGCAAGTCGCCGCAGATCGTCTTTGCCGATGCGGACATCGAGGCGGCGCTGCCGGTGCTCGTCAATGCGATCATCCAGAATGGCGGGCAGACCTGCTCGGCCGGCAGCCGCATCCTGATCGAGCGCCCGGTCTATGACACGGTGGCGTCGGAACTTGCCGCGCGCTTTGCGGCCCTGACCGCCGAGCCGCACTGGGCCGATGGCGATCTGGGCCCGCTGATCAATGCCAAGCAGGCCGAACGGGTCACCCGGTTCGTCGCCAACGCCAAGGCGGCGGGGACCGATGTTCTGGCCGAGGGATCGATTGCCGCCGACGCGCCGAAGGGCGGTCACTATCAGGCGCCGGTCCTGTTCGGCGCGGTCGAGCCCGACAGCGCGCTTGCCCGGGAGGAAGTGTTCGGGCCGGTCCTGTCGCTGTTCGTCTTCGACGGCGAGGAGGAAGCGGTGCGTCTGGCCAACGGGACGGATTATGGCCTTGTCGCCGGCGTCTGGACGAAAGACGGCGGGCGCCAGCACCGGATGGCCAAGCGCGTCCGGGCCGGCCAGGTCTTCGTCAACGGCTATGGCGCCGGCGGCGGCATCGAATTGCCGTTCGGCGGCTTCAAGCGATCCGGCCACGGCCGCGAAAAGGGTTTCGAGGCGCTGCGCGACATGAGCGCCACCAAGACCGTCATCTTCAATCACGGATAGGATCATCATGGGCAGACTGGACGGCAAGGCCGCCATCATCACGGGCGGGGCCGGCGGATTCGGCGAAGGCATGACGCGGCGCTTCATCGAAGAGGGCGCGCGCGTCCTGATCGCCGACATGAATGCCAAGCGCGCCGAAACGCTCGCCGCCGAACTGGGCGAGGCGGCGGTGCCGCAGACGGTCGATGTGTCGCTGGGCAGCGACATAGAGCGGATGGTGCGAACGGCGCACGATGCGTTCGGGCGCGTCGACATCATGATCAACAATGCCGGCTACAGCCACCGCAACGGCGACCTTCTGGACGTTGACGAGCACGATTTCGACCTGATCTTCGCTGTCAACATGAAGGCGATCTATCATGCGACGCGCGCGGTCGTGCCGATCATGGAGGGCCAGGGCGGCGGCGTCATCATCACGACCGCGTCGACAGCGGGCCTCAGGCCGCGGCCGGGCCTGACATGGTACAACGCATCCAAGGGCTGGGCGATCACGGCGACCAAATCCATGGCCGTGGAACTGGCGCCGAAAAACATCCGCGTCAATTGCCTGGCGCCGGTGGCCGGCGAGACCGGCATGCTGGCGACTTTCATGGGCACCGACACGCCGGAGATGCGCGACAAGTTCAAGTCGGTCATCCCGCTCGGGCGGTTTTCGACACCCGCCGACATCGCCAATGCGGCGCTCTATCTGGCCTCCGACGAAGCCGCCTTCATCACCGGCGTCGCGCTGGAGGTCGATGGCGGGCGCTGCGTATGACGGTATCGTAAGCCAATCGCCGCCTTGTTGCCCAATTTGCGCCGCGCCCGCGCCATCTGACCGAGCTACCGCTTCTGGCGCAATGCATGGAGCGAGGTCGGGTGATGAAGGAACTGGTGGTGGTGCTGACGCTGATGGGCTGCGACGATGCGGGCGCCCATTGCGACTACATCGATACGCCCGACGGGCGCTGGTCGACGATTGCCGCGTGCCAGCAGGCCGGCGAGGCGCTGCTGACCCGCATCGAGGCCGACTATCCGTCGACGGCGGCGCAATGCGAGGCGCTCGAGGCGGGCACGATCGCGGTTGCAAGCGACATGGTTCCCGCCGAGCGCCCGCTCAGCGACATCATCGATGAGGCGACGGTGACCGTCTCGCCGCCCACGCGGCGCGGCATGGTGCGCCGCTGGGTCACGGTGCGGGTTCAGACCGTCGCCGACAAGCCCGCGCGCATCGCCGGGTTTGTCGGCGACACAGCCGACCGCGTCACGGTGCTGCTGCCGGCCTGGTAGGCGTCACGCCTCGCCGCGCTTGCCGCCGACGACGGCCTGCACGGTGTAGGCGAGAAAGGTCAGACCGACCGCGCCGGCAAGGCCGATCATGATCAGCGCGATCACGTCGATCGGCCCGCCGACATCGCCCAGCCCCGAACGGGTGATGACGAAGACGAACCAGATCGCGGCGATGGCCCCGATCGGCGCCAGCAGTTCGGCGCGCAGGAACCAGCGGCTGCGCAGCGAACGGTCGCGCACGATGACATAGACAAAGGCGGCGGTGACCAGGGCGGCGATGACGACGAGCCCCCAGAAGAGGCCCCGGCCGAACATTTCCTCGAGCACGGCGATCAGCGTTCCAAACGTCAGTTCTTCCATGATTCTTCCTCCTCAAGCCCGGCCGCGCAACATGGCGTTGTAAGTCGCCTTCAGCGCGATTTCCTTCATCAGCCACGAGACCCACAATTCCTCGAGCGGCGCGATCACGCCGGGGAAGGACGGCACCAGATTGTTCTTGTAGTCGAACTCGATCAGCATCGCCCGGCCGACGCGGGTGATCAGCGGACAGGACGTATAGCCATTGTAGGTCTCGGTGCCCTCCCGGCCGGCGATCTGCGCGACGAGCTGGTCCTCGACAACGGGTACCTGCCATTTGGCCGATGCCGCCGTCTTGCCCTTGGGCACGCCGGCCACGTCGCCGGCGGCGAACACCTCCGGGTAGCGATTGTGACGCAGCGTGTACTGGTCCACCTCGACATAGCCCTGGCCGACCCACTTGTCGGCCCATGGCAGCGGCGAGTTGCGGATCACGTCCGGCGCGCTCATTGGCGGGATGACGTTGGTGAAATCGAACGGGATTTCCCGGTCGCCTTCCGGCGTTGCGAAGGTGGCCACCTTGCGGCCCGGATCGATCGCCTTCATCACATGCTCATAGCGTGTGTCGAAGCCGCGCTCGCCATAGAGCATGCGCACCTTCTCGTTGACGATCGGCACGCCGAACAGCGATTTTGAGTGTGCGGCGTAGATGATCTCGGTCTTGCCGCGGTTGCCTTTCCGCCGTGCGTAGTCGTCGGTCAGGAAGGTGTATTTGAGCGGCGCGCCGGCGCATTTCATCTCGGTGGCCGGACGGCTGAACAGGCCCACGCCGCCCTCGTCGGTGAACCGGTCCATCTCGCGCCATGTGGCTTCGGCCGCTTCGGGGCTCGCATAGACCGAGCCGATGCCGTCCTTGCCGATCAGACCGACATCCATGCCCTCGATCTGGTCGTAGTTGAGCTTCAGCCCCGCCGCGACGACGAGATAGTCATAGCTGACCTGCGTGCCGCTGTCGGTCGTCACCGTCTTCGCCTCGGGATCGATCTCGGCGGCGCCCTCCTCGATCCAGTTGACCGCGCGCGGCAGCCAGTCGCTGGTGCTGCTGACCGAATAGCCGGCCGGTTTCAGCCCCGATGCGATCAGCGTGAAGCCGGGCTGGTAGAGGTGGCGCTTGCGCGCGTCGATGATGGTGATTTCGGCGCCGTCGAGCCGAGCGGCCAGCCGGTTGGCGAGCGATGAGCCGGCCGCACCGGCGCCGATGATGACGATCTTGGCCGACGTCGCCACGCGTTGCGCATGCGCCGGACGCGCGGCCCCCAGCGCTGTCGCGCCGAGCGCGGCCGCCAGAAAGGCGCGCCTGTCGAGCTCAAAAGACATGTGGAATCTCCCGATGGTCATAAACAATCGGGCGGATCGTAACGCCGCCGGACGCCCGGCGGCATGATCTATATCAATTTTTTCTTATATAAGAGACGACATCTATGCGGACCGGATCACTTCGAGCCGCCAACGATGTTGCGCCAGTTGCGCATCGAGATCAGGTGGCAGTAGATCAGCGCCAGCGCGCCGTTCTTGCGCAGCGACAGGAAGGTCTCATCGTCCAGTTGCGCCAGCTTCTCCTCGTCCACCACCTGAAAGCCGGTGATCCGCCGTTTGGTCTCGTCGGGCAGCGTCACATCGGCATTGCGGTCGACCAGAAGGCCGGTCCCGGCGATGGCGGCCAGGAGCTTGTCGGTCTCCAGAAGCTGGTTGTGATACGTCTGGCAGAAACTCATCGCGTTCTGCGCCGCTTCGCTCGGCTTTCCGTCCTCGAACAGCCGGTCGCCCTTTTTTGAATCGAACCAGCGGCTCTTGAGATCGGCGGCAAGCGTCAGCCTGTCCTGCGCCTTGTCCTCGACAAGGATGAACGGATAGCGCCTGACATAGGCCGGGATGTAGCTGCCCGAACGCCATTTGCCGCTCTTTTCGACAAACCGGTTCTCGCCGGCCGAGTGGCCGGTGATCACATGCGCGGCGCGGCGCCCGTCCTGTTCGCTGAAGACGAGCGGATAGTGCAGCGCCGCTTCCGGAAACTCGGCGGCCGCGACAATGATGGCGTTCATCTGAGATGCGCCATTGAAGCGGTTGGCCGGGGTGAAGCGCAAATCGCCGTGCAGCCCGGCCGACAGGACCGCCACGGTCTCGTACATGGCCGGAAGGCCGCCGCTTTCGGCTCCGTTCGCATCCTTGCCGGCAGCGGTTCTTTCCTCGGTTTTCGTCTCGGTCATCACGTCCCCGTTCAGTGCGGATTACTGGCTGCGCGCGGCCAGCGTTGCGAGCGCTTCGGTGAGCCCGTCGGTCGACACACCGATCGCGAGCGTCTGGCCGCTGGCAACGGGATAGCGGATCGCCGGGGTTTCGGCGCCGATAAGAAGCTGCGCAATGTCCTCGCCGCTCTCGAACTGGACAAAGCAGAAACCGCTCGTGCAGCGCGTTATGCGGCCCGACAGCAATGCCGTGTCGCCATCGGCCAGTTCCGGTGCGCTGCCGAACGACACGTCGGCGATGACGCGCATGGCAACGACCGTCGCTCCGTCCTCGGGATTGCGGCCGAAGGCGAGACGCGCGATTTCGGCGCGGTTGTTGGTGCTCGAATAGACCTGCACGGCCTCGCACACGCGGCGCGGTGCATCCTGCGGGCCGTCATCGTCGGCGGGCGTCACGGCAAGCGTGCAATCGACACTCCAGTCGCCAAACGATTCGGACGAGCGGCTTGGCGTCGGCGAAGCGTCCTGGGCCGTCGCCGGCGCTGTGGCTGCCATCATCCCCGCAACGCAAACCGCGGCGCCCAAAGCCGTCAGATTTCGAACAAGCATTTCTTTCCCCTTGTCTTTCCGGCCGGCGCGACTGCCTTGCCGGCCAGTATGTTTCATGCCCTGACTATCCGATGGACAAGGGGTTGGCCAGTGATCAGCGCCGGTTCATCTTCCCCGCATCATGCAAAAAGGCCGGACGCATGCATCGCGCCCGGCCATTCCTTGGCCCATTACCGCAATTGGGGTATGCCGACGCCCGTCAGCCGGCGGCCGCCACGGCGCGCTTGGCCATCACCTTGATCAGGTGGGCGCGATAGTCGGCCGAGGCGTGGATGTCGCTCATCAGCCCGTCGGCGGACACCGCCACCGCGTCCACGGCATCGGGCGACCAGTTCGTGCCGAGCGCCTGTTCGAGACCGTCATGACGGAAGACGCCGTCCTCGCCCGCCCCGGTGACGGCGACGCGCGCGCCATCGCCGGTCTTGGCGACAAAAACACCGACCATGGCGTAGCGCGAGGCCGGGTTTCGGAACTTGGCGTAAGCCGCCTTGCCGGGTGCACTGACGTTGACCGCGGTGATGATCTCGCCATCCTCAAGCGCTGTCGTGAACATGCCGGTGAAGAATTCGTCGGCTGCGA